CAAACATTCACCAGAAGATTGTTCGGACGCACTCATTGTCTCCTATATTCTTATCTGAACAGGAGAAGCGCCCATTTCTTCCCTTAGGAGGGTTGCATTCTTTCTCTAAATTTCTTTCTAATCTTCATAGAAGTCTTCCTCCCTGCGCATAGAAATAGATATACCAAGTAAATATCGCAAATTGACAACCAATGAAAAACATTTAAAATATTCTTATCAAGAATTGGGGACAAATTTTCTTGCAGGTTAATAATAAGCATGCTAACAGCCATCTGGCGGCTAATTATTTGCTTCCCTCTTCCAAGTAGTAGCAATAAATTACTGATAGTTTTGTGATTGGACACCTAAAAAATCAGCCGAATAATGTCTCCACAATGGGGGTATACAGTATAATATCTAATAGTCATAAATATAATTTTATAGGAAAAGCATGTTTATTCAGACTGCACACAACATTAATACAGAAAGGTAATCTAACAATTCCGATATAAACGATGGATTCAGCGCGATAACATTATAATCGGCATATATTGTAAGTATAAGTAGAAAATCTATCAATTTCGTATGAACTATAGGAATGCCACCAACTAATGAGCGCTATTTAGATCTGTGCACATGAAAAAGCAGATAAATTAGCACCACTATATTAATCTTCTCCCATTCTGACAAGGCTTCATAGCTCTGTCTGTAGAAAAACAGTAACAGGATCTATACTATTTATCCGCTTCCTTTCGTCTGTAGTTCAAAGTCGTGATATGAGAGTGATAGACCTTGTTCTGCATGATAAAACATAAAATACGAGCAGTCATAGTATGAATATATCAGAGTTGTTTATGAATAGCAGTAATAAGCAAGATATCTCTCGCTGCGATTTTTATTATCCTGAGATAAATACAAGGAATAATTTAATGGACGTCACGTATACATATATTTTTTAGGAGCACACAACCATTCCAACAAGCAGGTGGAATTCATAATCGACAGCATATCTCCTCTAAGAGTGGATGGAGCAGTTGTGCAGGACTCTCCGATAATCGCCTGTACTCCAGAGTCCTAGGTAGAGATTCCTTGTGGGAGGAAGGGCTCCAGGGATAAATAGGAGTCATTCTACATCTGTTGTGACATTTGAATAGGAACTTTCGAAGAATCGTAAAAAAGGAGACGTATTGTGTACCCCTTCCATAAAGAACAGATCAATAAGCAGAATTCACTAGTGAAATCCTCGAGGAGGATAAACATTCTAATATGAGAGACAACTCCTGAGCAAAAGATCTTCCAACAGTATGGATTAACATTAATATAGATGAATACGTGCTCTATAATTCGGCGCGCCATCGCTGCATGTATAACTCCCCGATTTTACAAATATATCCTATGGGAAAGGGATGAGAATGAGACAGCCAAGGAAATAACACTAGATCAGTAAGACTGCAATCCCTCTGTATATATCTCAATAACGGAAAGAGACAGAGTCTAAACATTGACTCTTCCGTATCTTTAGATTAACACGCTTAAGCTATATTAAATATGGGGAGAATAATAAACAATCTACAAATATATCTCTTATTCTATCTTCAAGGAAACCTAAGAAGACACAATACAGAAGAAATAAGAAAACGCGCCTTAAAAGAAGCCAACAGGTAGAAGATTACCACAGCGACGAGAAGATGAAAAGATAAATCCCAGGGGGGAGGACAAAACCTGGAAACGCCGAGTGCGCAGTGATGCTTGTGAGCGGCTGTTTAAGGTCAAGATTCTAAATCCAAAGAAGACAGCATTAAATGGTTAACCTTAAAGAATAGACTTTAAAGGCTGATGACAGAAGCAAAAAAAGGAAGGAGAAGCCTTTAACCATGAAGGCTGCACGATAGATCATACACGATACGGACTCGACGTTGAAGACTAAGTAATAGAGCGCAAATTGAAACCATAAAGAGTGAAGAAGAAACAATAAACAGTAACGCCACAAATTAACCCATGTAAGAACTACCCGTCCTGGATAAGGAAAGAACCTCTGGGGTGATACACTGAAATATGCCAGGACCACATCCAACGGCTCACCTTGGACCATGAGCAATAGCAAATACACATGGGCGGTACAAAGTACAGGTATAGTATTGACCGTAAACCTAGGGCGTGAGGAAACAATCCTAAACTTCATCACAGACAACTAAACCCTGAAGGTATCCCCTAAGCCATAAACAATAGAGATAAATGGACAGCCATGAGAACTAAACCATAACCCCTCAAGATAAGAAACGGAATCCTAGGCCTTAGCAGGTAGGGAATAAAATTAGACAGCAGATACAAAGACGGACCTATAGAGAATTAACTTTCGGGATAAACCGTCAAAGGTGGCAGTAACACGTAAACCACCGAACTCCCCCATAAGACATGGAAGTTGAGCCAGGGAATATGGAGTTTAAACACCAAAACATAAAACACAAGCACTACACCCTAAATCGTAAAACCCTGACAGTGGTCACGAGAAACCTAAGGCCTAATTACTGAGCCATAGGCGTCTACAATTACTTATCACACGATAGAGGTGAACAGTAGAGAGTAGAAGCAGAAACCCGGCAATAAACTTAAAGATGCGGGCGTACACGTAGAGGATAGGACCTGATCCGTAGACTCAAGGATGGAACCCTAAGGATAAAGAATAAAGCATGAATCCTAAAAATTAAGGAAGAAGAAATGAAAAGTACAGAAAGGCCTCCTAAGGAAGGACAATAAGCGAAAAGGGCGGTGACATGGATAAAGCACGGGTTCCACCCGGGCTTACCAGGTGCAGAATCAATCCGTACCGTCCCTGCCTAAAGACGAAACAGTACAGGTAAAACCTCTAAACGCCTCTGTACTATTTCCCGCTATTCCCTAAACCATAAACCCTCAGAATTACAGAGGACTAGCCAAAAACCCAAGAAGACGGATACAACAAAAACATAAGCAATAATGAGAGGAGGCTTAGACATGAACAGCCACATCAAACCCACAGATTACCCAATATCTCATGAGCAGCAGATGATGATGGAAACCAGCCGGAGCTAAAAAAATACGGCAGCACCCTAAAACTCAAACTTCCACCCCGAAGAAATCCCTGTGCAAACAAGTGCATGAAGCACAATTCATCATCACTAAACCGTAACCCCTAAATCTAGCCCCATGAACGTTAGAGCCTAAGATTTAAAGAAACGGGGCCAGAGCATAAACTCCAAAGCCTTAATCCTAAAATAGGAAGTTGAGGATTGTAGACTAAAATATACCACCTAAGGGATGAAGAATAAGAAATAGAATCTACAGGCCAAAACCGTAGCCAATAATTATACAGACGGAGACATAAGCAATCAAGTCCAAAGAAGTAAACTCTGAATTGAGATCCCCAAATATCAGGTATAACCATAAAGAATAAATATGCAGGATACCTCTGAAATCTAACGAGAAAACCCTAAAGGATGAAGTTTTAGCGAAGAAAGGGGGACCCCAGAATATGGAAAGTAGAACATAAAACGTGAACCCCCAAATCCAAGGCATTATGCCTTGAGGCTAAATAGGTAAATAATACAAAAAGAAATATAAAAACAGGAAAGTAAAGTATAAACATTAGTTCAGCAGCTTTCAGCGATAAAACAAAATCCTAAACAATAAACATAAAGCTGCAACCTGGCCCGTAAAAATACCTCCAAAAACTAAACCCCTATAGAGCAGAAGATAAAGGTAGGCCGGAAATCGTATCGCTAATCCCCCCAGTCTAAAGCCTAAACCATAAGACATGGAGTTGTGAAAACAAAACCGTAAAGCGTAAAATTCACCCCCTAAAAACCAAACTTAAAGACACACGAATAAATCGTAAGACCCAAATCGTATCCTATAGGATCTAAATCTGAAGCCTAAACCGTAGAGTTCAGAAACTTCAGACTACAGCAAACACCAATCCTTAATTATGCAGATGATACCAGAAGCTTTATAAGTAGGAACTGATGCCTAAAGACAAAGATGACAGTAGCTAAACAATGACCCCCGGAGTGAACAAGGCGGAATATAGATCACTAAGTAGAAGTCTGAGGAATGGAGACGAAGTAATAGCTTCTACATCGGGGACAGCAGGCTAGAGGTCATATCTAGAACATAAGCCATAAGTATTATGGCTAACCATACTCAAGAGAACTAAAACGTGAATAGTAAACTTAAATTCGAACCACTAAGCATAGCAACAATTCGCTGAGAATAGAAGTAGAAACGTTTGAGACGAAACCCTAAGCTTTATACCGGAGACATTAACACAATACCCTGAATCATTAACCGTAAAAATAAAACCCTGAAACCTAAGAAAAATACCATAAGACATAAACCTAAAACGTATAACCAGATGTTTAAGCCATAAACCGTAATCCCTAAAGCCATATCTCTAGACAATAGAACATGAATCCTAAATCCTAAACACTGAAGTCTGAACCCAGAACGCCAAAACCTCAAATCATCACCAGTGACGCCGAAACGCTGAAGCCTCAATCCAAGACGCCAAAACCTCAAAACATCATCCGTGAACCGTAAACGCTGAAGCCTGATGCCCTAAACCTAGAGGATGAACCCTGAAGCGTCAACCCCAGAACAAAAATCCTGGAATTATCAATTCTAAATCGTAGAACCCTGAAACATATACACTAAATCTTGAGGCGTCAACCATAAAGCCTGGAACCTAAGCCCGACCCCCTGGAAGCATGAACTCTCATCCATAAATGCTGAAGCATGAACCATAGACCCGGCATGCCTGAAGCCTAAAACCTAAAACACTAGATCCAGAAGACTAAACTATACAACATACCACTTCAACTCTAAATACTGAACCCTAAACCATAAACCATGAACCCTGAACCCTAAACCTGTAAACACTAAACCCTCCCCCTGAACCAGGAGAACAAGAATCCCGACCCGTAAACCCTGAACCCCATCCCCACTTGAACTCTCCAGGACTGAACCGATCACCTTCTCCCCTTCGCCTATATCCTTAAGCCAATCGATGGCCCCTCCCACTTGTCCGCCCTAAGCGCCTTTCTCCGTCGCGGCCTCCCCCAAATTCTATACAAACCATAAGCTGCTATCCCTGCTATAAGGACTCCTCCTATTACTCCTCCAGCTATGGTTCCTATACCCCTCTCGGCACGAGGGTCTTCCTCTTTTCCTACTCCTGGGGCAAGCGCCGAAGTTGCATTCCCCTCCCCTCCGGCTCCCATACTATCTGAAGCAGCGGAAGCTGCCGGTGGACCCTCAGTCTGGTCCTCTCCATTGGTCCCTGGGTTAGGTAAAGACGAGGCTGCCTCCTTTGGCTCCTTCTGAGGCTCCGTATTTGCTGATTGTGTTATAGTTGTAGAAGCAGAGGCTTCGGGTTCTTTTCCTCCTTCGCTGTTGACTTGGACGTTCGGATGTTCTGGTTCCCCTTCTGAATCTGTTGGGGAATTTCGTCCCTTAGAGCTTCCTCCTAATCCTGTCACGGCCTGGGCAGAATCCCCGCTAGTTCCGTCGGCTGAATTTTTGTGAGATGACTCCTCGGGTGTCTGCGCTGAGGTTTGCGCTTTTCCCAGTGGTGCCCGTGTTTGTCCTGTAGAGCTGGGTGTTTTCGGGATTCCACGAACTACTAGTGTTCTCCCCTGGTCCTTCGCAGTCTGCTCGTTGTTGCAGTTGAACTCTTTTCCGTTGACAACACAGTAATAGCTTTCACCGCGGTAAGTCGTGCTGGCTGATCTCCTTATCCAATTTCCCAATTGATACGGGCCACAGGTTGGACATAATTTTGTTAATCCTTCATATACGCTATTTATTAATCCTAACTTCATGCTGGTACATGCCTTACCGGCCTGAGTCTTCGTACATTCGCTGCCCCCCAACTTACTAACCCGCTCTTCCTTCTGCTTATACCAACTCAACCACTCCTGTGCCTCCACCTCTAGGTTTTGATCTACTTTGGTACATATCCTGTCCCTGCCAGTTAGTTTCGTGTTATCGTCCTTGCCTTGCCTATATAATCCGCTTACGATACAGAATATCAGACTATAGATGGCTTGACCCTCGGATGTACTGTTCCATCCCCCAGGTTCCCTGCCCGCTTCCTTCAGAGCACTATACCAGTCATCTCTATACCACTTCCATCTCGTAGAGTCGGACCTTTCTGGGGTGTTTTCGGCTAGTTTATCAATCTCCTGGAGTAGTAGATCTATGAAATCTGTCCAGGTTAATCTAGGTTTGCCCCATGTACCATCCCACAGTCCCGTTTTCTGATGAGTCCAGGTCTCAGACATGGACTGGGAGCCATATAGATCTCCGGCTATTTCGGTGGACCAATTGTTAATACTTGTCCAATCAGTCTTCCCTGGGGTCCATGCCAAGTTATAACAACCCATGCTTTCCTTGGAGTGCTCGCTACATCTGCCTGCTTTTGTCCTTGGGTAGTAGTGCCTGGGGAACTTCTCCTTCCATAAGGTCAACTCCCAACTCATCTTTATTTTTTCGGGTGTGAAATTTCCTGTTAGTCATCCCTAGGAATATTAATATCTGAGGGAGGCTAATGTCTTCTTGACGTTATTGAAGCTCTTCAACTTAAGCAGTCTCCACCTGCTTGCATGGTTATGACTCCTTTCGCTGGATTCTTACCGACGCCCTCCCTCTGGATATGTCGCTCGTAACATTAATACTATACTGCAAAGTTCCTCCCTCCCCTTAAAACTCCCTAATTTTTAGCTCCTACGACGCGTTCTTCATTCGGTACCTTTGGTTGTTCTCCTTCATTTCTTCCCCTGATGGATTGTTTGTCGTCCTAAGGCTGTTTTTCGGGCCCTTGTTCCCTCCTGTCTCTCGGTGTAGTTTGCCGTTCTATCGGCTCCCTTCTGGGCTGGGGGGTCTAGTCTTTATCCCCATTTCAGTCGAGATAATGTCCCTTTTGTATCCTCGCCCCTTCCTTTGTCATTAGTCCCATATTTCCTCTGCTATCTCTCCTACCTTAGCTTACTCTCCGTGGGGGGCGTGGCGATTTTTTCTACTTGGTTTTGGGGGGATTGTGTGGCTTCTGGGCGTAGAGGGATTGGGTCCTGTGATAGGCAGGTGGGGGATATCCAACGTTAACTTTCTTCTTCTGGCTCTTCTGGAGAATCACCTTACCCTGAGGAGGGGGGTCTCCCCACGATTGGTGTAACCTTCCATTACGCCATTTTCCTCCTTGAGCCGTCCTTCCTTGTCCTCTTTCTCACCTGAGACGGTGTTCCTCCTTTCCCTCTGGAACTTAACCTCCCCTTGGCTTGTCCTGCTTCCGTCCCCGGGGTCGGCTCATCGGTCATTTTTGGGGATTCACTTCCTGCGACCGGGGGGTGAGAAGCCTCTACGGCCTGTTCGATGGGTACTCTTCATAGAGTCCCCTAAAGATTCTCCCTCTGACCTGGTCCCTGTTGACTTGCCGTTACTTTCCTTACTTCACTGTCCCTTGGAGATTTAAGACACTAAAATGGCCTTCACAACTCATTACTACGTCCTCCCTTCTATCGATGAAGGTTCTGCTTCCCGATTTATAGCTCGAACCTTCTATCCCCTCATCCGATCCGGCCCTTCCTTTTGACGCTTTTGCTCCTCTGCCTTTCATATCTTAACCATTCGTCCTGACGGGGTCGCCCTGCAGGTGACTACCTGAGCTGATCCGTCGCAACTGCCTGAGGCCCTGACCCCATCCTCGCCGTTGATTCGGGTGGTACGTGCTGCTCCTCTTCTTCGGTTGGATTTTGCTGCTGTTGCCTCCTCAGAGGATTGTCTTCTCCCGGGAGGTTCCTGACTTCCTTCTTCTCTTCTATTTTGTCAACTACGCGAAAATTATGCTGGAGGAGAATATTTCGGTTTTTCTGGTTGTTTGGCTTCTGTTTCATCCGTTAGTTAAGTCGTGCACGCAGTCTAACTTAAGCTTCCGGGAGAGACTCCTCCTTAGAAGAGCTTGAGGGTTCAACTATTCAGTCTTTCCCTCCCGTTATCTATTGATTCGGAATACTTGGGTCTAAAGAACTTCCTCTTTTCTAGATCCTTGGGTTGATCTGGTGATATGACTTAGATGTTTCTTTGGATCCAGAGTATGTTCCCCCTCTCACTAGCTCCTCCCTCGTATGCAACCAGGTATCGCTGTCCAGTGGTGATTGAGATCTCCCCCCCCAGTTGCCCATTTTTTGTTGTTTTTCTGGGAGAACCCTCGCTAGTCCAGAAACCTTAACTTGGAACCGTATTATTGAGTACCGTCAGAACCTGCTGCCACTTTAGTGATGTTTGGTCCTGCAGGAGGCCCTACCTCACGACGGCGCCGATGGGCTCCGTGAAGTGGATGCCGCCCCTTACCTGGTCTCCTGTCCTGTTTAATTTCGTCGGGTCTGGCTCCTGGCTTCGTTATTCCTCTTTTTTACCCTCATTATTCCCTATTTCCTCTGTTCCCATTCCTGTCGCTTCCTCATATTCTTCTTTTTCATAGGTTGTTGGGCTGCGGAGCTATTCATACGGTTTTGCTAATTCGTGGGATCCCTGGGGCTCCTTGTTTTTTCCTTGTTCCCGTCACTCCGCTTTAAGCTCCGGTTTTTTTCCATAAGGATGTTTTCGCCTACTTTATCCTCTATTTTAACTTCTTCGCGCTATTTTGATTTGTCCGGTCCTAACCTTGTCTGGATGGGAGGGATTACAGTTAAACTTGAGCCTTTGGAGCTCCTGTTTGTTCCTTGTTACCTTCTTTACCCTTGTGAGAATTTCCTTCGCCACTAGGGCTTACACTGAATTATTATCTTGCTTTTTGTGATTGACTCTGGTATTTGTCGTTTTTTCCCCTTCCGTTCTTTCCGGTACTTTGCATTTTTCTGGTTCCCCTACAATGGAGACCTTCTCATCATTTGCTCCTATTTCTTGCTTCGTAGTTCCATCCTCCTTTCTACTGTGATATAACCGATTTGATGTTTTGATCCGGGCCTTTCATTCAGCCTTCTGCCCCTTTCGTTGAGATTTTTCTTCCTTGGTCTCGAAACTGCTCAGGCTCCTTAATTCTTTTGCCTGGTTATTCATGTTTTCTGGGCTGGTCCCTGTTGTCCTCCCGATGTCCTATTTCTATTCTTCTAATCCTTTAGGAGAGGTGATTGTGCAGTCAGCTCGCTTTATCAACCGGAACTTGTCTTCGTTAAGGGACTGGTTTTTCAGTCGGTTATGGCCTCTTCCTCCTGTTGGAGTTTTGTAGATTGATTTCAGGAGCTGGCCTACAGAGTCACCCTTGTTATTTTGGCTTTTCTTCCTTTACCGGTTGCAAGTTTTTGTCAGCTCCTTGACTTCTTCAGGGACGGGCTAGTTGATCTTGGCCTCTTCGCATGTTACTTTGTTAATCTTATTTCTTTTCTACCTGTCGATTCAGCTATGCTTGTAAAGACTCCTTTCTTCGGGACTGTTCAACTTTTAGGTTGCCATGGGAGGTATTACTCGGCCCGCCGATTACTTGATGGAAATTCCTACTTTCTGAAACTTATTCTTGATCTAGCTTCTCCAATTTCTTCTTCGTTTTTTAGACGCTTCCTTCAGTTGCTGGTCCAGAGTTCGTTATTTCTGACTACTCTGATTGAAGGATAAAGGGCTTTTGTCTATTCACTCTTTGCATAAGATAGCGACCTAGCTCTTAGTCATCTAGGCCGATTGGGGTGTCGGGGGGGGAGATGTACTGGCTGTTGGGGTCGGAGTCGTTCAATTGAGTCTGCTGAATTCTGATCCTATTCGTCCGCGAGGTTGAAGACTAATCTTATGAGATAAGTGATTACCCTTCCTTGCATCCAGACACTCCTAATAACTGCTGGGACTTTTGGGCTTCGGCTTGGTCTGCTTTCTGGCCACTACTGCCTGTCCACTTCTGACTTCCCCCTTCTATGGATTCGGTCTCTTCCATTTGTTCTTGGTTTCATTTACGAAACATCTATGACATACGAACAATTTGCAGATTGTTGGTTTTCTTTCGACTTCTTGCTGTTTTGTGTTCTTCTATGTGTCGTGAGATGGTGTTAATGGTCTTCTTCCTTCGATATAATTAGATCCTATTCTTCTGGATTGTCCTTCTTCTATTCTCCTTGGATGAGGTGCCTCTTTTTCCGCTATATCTTCCTTATATCTGGGGGGTTTTGCTTTGTTGCTCTTGTTTGTAGCGTTTCAATAATTGTGGGTTGTACAATGCACCCTTGAGTTTCTCAGTTGGCTCCTGTAGTTAGTGGAAAGTTTTACTCCTTATTTTCTAGCTGAATTTCTCTTTCCTTAGGAGAATCCCTATACTGCATCTTTCGTTTATTCCACCTACTACTTGTTTTGCCTATTGGTGACACTTAAAGGGTAGAGCTTAGACTTTTTGTTGTGGGATTAATTTGTCCTTCACCTTCTTGGAGATTGGGTGAGATGTTCTGTTCAAGATTAGCCGGAGGTGAGTTGCTGATCTTTGAGGAGTTCTTCCCTGTTGTTGCTTGGGGGAGTTGGAGTCCTTTGGCGTTGCTGGGAAAACTCTTAGAAGCTAGGGTCAGGATGATATATTATAACCCTGGGCAACCTTTTCTGATCTTGTGTCAGATCCTGAGTTGTCAACTTTACTTAATATTGGTTATTTTCCTTTTGTTGTGTCTTCGTTGTTATGATACTCATATCGATCAAGAAATACATTACACTTCCATTCTATAGTTGTACTGCCTTCTTGAACTTCTCTTGTTTCTCGTTAGGTTATCCTCCTTAAACGATCATCTAACTATACAACAAGGCTAGAGTTCAGTACTCCTGGTTTCATCCGTATACGCCCTGTTTATTATCTCCTTGTATCTCTTAGGTTCATAATGACTTCAGCCCATACTTGGGGATCTTTCCTCGGGGCGTTGGGGTCTCCTTTATATGATTCTTGTCCCTTGAGTGATATAAGGTTGGTTGTTCATCCATATTTTAGGCGCCCGGGTGTCTTGTCGTGCCTTTTTTGTGGCGTCTGTTAGCCATATGTGGCTAATTCCTCCTCTGGAGAATTTTAGAGACTAATGTGACTTGGTTCTTATAATTGGCTTCCTGCCTATATAATTGGCATGGTTGCTGTCATCCCTCCTTTACGGCCTCCCTGAACTGGTTCTGGAGTTGGGTTTACATTCGCACGTGTTGTTTGATTCTACATTGGTTTCTTTTATTCTATTTGTAATACTCATCTACTCATGCGTCTTTTACTGGGGCCAGTTCCTCTTGGTATTTTGTATAAGTCGTGACTCTGATTTGAGGCATTCATTTGTTAACCTGGCACTTGTTTGGGAGTATTAATTCCTCTTGGGTTTTGTTTGTACCATTGTTTTGGTTCCAAGCATTGTTGTTCCGCTTTTCCTTTTCTGTCCATTTGGGTGTTCTACTCGACCCTGATGGCAATTCTGTACGAGTTCGTAAATCGGTGTCCTCTAATGGGAGATGATACCTGGAGCTGTTGATTCTTTTTTGGTGATTTCTTATCTTAATCTATCTTTATAATACCAGACACATGGTGATTAATTTCCTCTCCGGATAATATATACCTAATCTTCTATAGGCTCACGTACCATTCTGAAATCACTAGGTCCGAACTTCGTTTCAGATATTATACTCGGGCGGGGATATATAGAGTTTTGTAACATAGATCAGTTAATTTGTAATTCGATTGTGCAATTAACCTTCACTTTGGTTATTGAATGTAGGAAAGAATCAAATGAAGCTCTAACTTCCTCGGGGGGTTGGGTAATCCTAGGGCTTGAGGTCTTGGCCCTTCTCTCGTTTTTGAATTACGGGATTACTCTTCTGAAATTAACGATTGGTATGAAGGTAATCATATTCCGCCTCCCTGACTTATATCTCCAGTTTAGACTTCATCCCCTTCTTCATCTGTGTCCCCCTTCTCCATTCTTGGTGGTTTCCTTGCTTTGATTTAGTCATCCTTTCTCTTGTAAGATTTTACCCCCCCTGTGTACTCCTTAGATGCCATAATGCTATTCTGCACTCGAGTGATAATATGGTGGGGGCGTTTACTTGCTGTTTCCATGGGGTTAGAGTTAGTTTCCTTTTGTAGGGATCAGCTCATATTGGTCCGTTCTTCTGGGGGGGTTACTGATATACTATTCCTTTTCAGAGTTTGGGTTCTGGCTGGGTCATTGCCTGTTGGTTGGATATAAGTCAATTCGTAGGCTGAGGATCTGGGTTCATCTATTGACTAGTCTTCCTACCCTTATTTACTATAGATTGTTTTTTTTTTATAATATCGAGGCCTACTGTGTTTTACACCTTCTTTTACTTCCGCGGGTGGGAATCTCTTTTTGCTTCGTTAGGTCATTTCACTGGTTCTCATCCTCTGTTGGATCCTGCTCTTTCCATACCCTTCGTTCTCTTGTGCAGCACACCCTGTTTCTAAAATACGTGCTTAGCGGGTTGCTGTTTTGATCCTTGCCCTTATTAATCCAGCCACTGCTTCCATAATCTTGTTTATCATTTCTTCCCCTTGACCTGTTAGTCCTTTGATATCAATCGTTTCGCCATCATTGGGTCTTGTATTGTTCTCTGCCTTTATTATAAAAGGTATATAGTACCTCATCGCATTTGCATTAAACTGCTATAAAGTTGTTGCTTTAATCATGGTATAAACGTGTCTGCAGTATGGCTTCTCTGGATCCCTCTTGCCCCATCTGTTTATTTTTCGCCTGCTTGGATAGTTGTGGCTACTTAAAGTTTGCAAGGGTTTATGTGCAAACTTAGCATTTTCCAAGAAAATGCTGAGGGCATATCTTACTGTGAAGTTGACTGGCCTATTCCCCCTGTTTCTCGGGTGGTTCCTAACTTCTCCACCTGCATTTTTCCCCGGGGGTGGGTATACTTCTCTAGCTGAGACTTCGAAGACTCCTTCGCTTTTTTCCTTACTTCTTTCCATAATTTCACTTGCGTTGGTTTACTTCGGTTTGGGGGTTTAAAATCATTCTTATCAGAGATTGGGAAGACATTTCCTTGCAAGTTAATAATAAACATCCTAACAGCCATCTTGCGACTAATTATCTGCTTTCTTATTCCAAGTAGTAGCAATAAATTACTGATAGCTTCGTGATTTAATATCTAAAAGATAAGCCGAATAATGTCCTCACAATGCGGGTATACAGTATAATATATAATAGTCATAAATAGAATTTTATAGAAAGAGCATGTTAATTCGTACTGCACACAACTCTAATACAAAACGGTGATCTAACAATTGCAATATAAAAAATGAATTCACCGCAATAACATTATAATCGGCATATATTATAAATATAAGTAAGAGATCGCTAGGTTCCGTATGAACTATGGGGATGCCGCGGACTAATGAGCGCTATTTAGATCTGTGTACATGAGGAAACATATAAATTAGCACTGCAATATTAATCTTCTTCTATTCTGACACGGCTCCATAGATCTGTCTGTAAGGAAGCAGTAACAGGATCTATACTATTTATCCACTTCCTTTCTTCTGTATTTCAAAGTCGTGATATCAGAGTGATAGACCTTGTTCTGCATGATAAAACATAAAATACGATCATTCATAGTATGAATATATCAGAGTTCTCCCTGAATAGCAGTAATAAGCATGATATCTGTCAGTGCGATTTTTATTATCCTCAGATAAATACAAGGGATAATTTAGTGGACGTCACATATACATCTAATTCCTATGAACACACAAGCCTTCCAACACACAAGTGGAATTCATAATCGACAACATATCTTCTGTAAGAGTGGATCCAACAGTTGTGCAATACTCTCCTATAATCGCCTGTACTCCACAGTCATATGTACGAATTCTTTGTAGAAGCAGGAAATCAAGTGATAAATACAAGTCCTTCAACATGGGTTCCCAGATTTCAATAAAGGAATTCAAACAATACTCCAACAAAAAACATGTTGTCTACCCATCCCATAATATCCATAGGATTAAGAAGAATTCACTAGTGACATAGAGGGAAAGAAGGATACACATTTGAATATGGGAGACAACTCCTGAGCAAAACATCTTACAACAGGGTGGATTAATATTAATATAGATGAATATGTGCTCTATAATTCCCCGCGTCATCACCGCATGTATAAATCCACGATTTTACCAATATATTTTATGGAAGAAGGATGAGAATAGCAGAGCCTTGAAAACAGCACTAGGTCAGTAAGACTGATGTTCCTCTGGCTATATCTCAATAAAGTAAACAAACAGAGTCTAAACATTGACTGTTCCGTATCTTTATATTAACACGCTTAAGCTATATTAAATATGGGAAGAATAATAAACAATTTACGAATATATCTCTTCTTCTATCTTCACAGACAATTAAAAAGAAACCATGAGGAGAATGTAGGGGAAGGCGCCTTAGAGACAAGAAAGAAGCCCACCATTAGCACAGGAAGAAGGAGATAATAAAGTAAATCGAAGAGGAGCAGGCACCACATGAGGACGCAGAGTGGGCAATGATGCTTGTGAGGGGCTGCTTAAAGTCCAAACGCTAAATCCGGAGGGAACAGCATTAAATGGTTAACCGTAAAAAATAGACTTTAGCGGCTGATGACGGAACCGGAAACAGGAAGGATATGCCTTTAACCATAAAGATTGCAGAATAAATCATACAACACAGAAACTCAAAGTTGAAAACCAATTAATAGAGCACATATCGAAACCATAAGAATTAAAGACGAAGCAATACGGGGTGGCGCCCCCAATTAATATCTGTAAAAACTAAACATGATGCCTAACGCAAAAACATTCGGGAAAATACTCTGAAGAATAATAGGACCAAATACACCGAAACACCTTGCAACATGAACCGTAACGCAGACACCTGAGCAGTGCAGCGTACACGGACGGTATAGACCGTAAACCTACAGCGTGCGAGAACCAGCCTACACTTCCTCAAACACCAATACACCCTAAGGGCATCCGATCAGTCGTACACAGTGAAACTGAATCCCCAACAATGGAATCGAAGCCGTACACCGTCAAGATATGGCAGAGGATTATAAGGCTAAGGAGATAAGAAATAAAAACCAAGCAGCAGAAATAAAGGGGCCTATGTAAAGAATTAACCGTAAGAATAGAGACTGGAGGGTGCTAGTACAAGCTAACCCACAGAACTCACTAATAACCCCTGGAAGCTCAGCCATGGAATATAAATCCTGGGGCCCAAAACATATAACCCAGACAATAAGCCGTAAATCCTAGACCCCTAAGGAGGATCATAGTACAAAGGGCGTATAATCAATGAATCTTACCGGGCTAAAAGAACTTATCGAACAGTAATAATAGACCCTAACGAGTAAAGGAAACCCCCCGATCATACTAAAGGACTTGGAGGCCTAAACATAGAGGATAGAGCCTGACAAATAAACTCAAGTGTCGAACCGGAGGGATAAAAAATAAAGCATTAATCCTAAATATTAAAGAATAGAGAGTGAGCAGTTAAACTTGACACAAGACCAACCCACCATAAACCGACAGCGCAATGCCATGAGTAGAACCCGGATGAGATAGGTGCTTACCCCCTGCAACCCAAATGCGTATAATTGAAGCGTCAAAAACAAGCAGTACTGGTAAAATATATAAAGAGAAATGTACTCTTTAATAAAGCTGCATAGAGCTGCAGCCCTCAAAATTACAGAAGCGAAATCCGGAGAAAAGCGTAACAAAGGGACAGCAGGCATAAGCCATAATGGGAAGAACCTAAAGACTCAAAAAGGAAGCCAACAGCACAGCTTAGTCAGTACGAGATAGAATCCATATAATAAGGCAAAAGCGTAAGAACTGAAAACCTACCTCTGCGATATACATTTCCAGTCTCTACGCCTAAGCATTGCATGTGCCCAGCAGTGCATGTAGAATGGAACTTAATTCGGCATCCCTGAGCCTTAAGGCAGTACCTGACGCACCATACAAGTGAAACCCCAGGAATTAAGACAACAGGAACAAGGCTCAAACTCCAAAGCATAAATCCAAAATCAGAATCTTAATCATTCGGAGGTAAAAGATACAGCCTAAAAAATGATACATAACGGGAGAGAAGTACCTGCAACAGAAATAACCAGGAATTATAAACCTCGGAGCATGAACAGTCAAGTCCTAAAGAATAATCTCTGAAGGTAGCGCCAACGTCTTGCATCCTGAACATGAAGCATAAATGTACACCTTAGGCGTGGAACCTGGACAGGAACCCCTAACAAATTGAGTCGTAATGTAGAGACAAAGCCACTAAATTATAAGCCTTAAACCAAAAAACATCGACAGGAACCCAAGGAGAATTATAAATTGAGCCTGACGAATAGAGAGAACAACAGGCACCCTCAAAAGCAGGCAATAAGGAATACAGAATAATCCAGGAAAAAGGAGCAATAACAACCGGGTCGGGGGCCTAGAAATAAGAATAGCGCCTGAAACCAACACCTGAACTCAACAGCTATAAGCATAAGCCATACAGCCTACAGAACATCCCTCCCCATAGGCCTAACTCTGCCACCCTATAATGTACACGTGCCCCTGTGAGACGAGGAACCCGCCCAACTGAACCCTGAAGTTGGATGCTTGGAAAACAAGTCCAAATCAACGGCGCTACATCCTCCACATGACGTCCCACAATATGGAAACTAATCCTAAACCATAAAGCCAAGGAATTACACCCAGACAACAAGAAAAGGAAACAACCCTAAATCCTCAGAATAAAACCAACAAATCATCAGACAGCCTCTCGTCCATGGAAGCCGAGGTCCAGAGGGATGCATGATAAAATGCAGAACCTAAACCTCCAAATATAACCCTGGACAGCTGAGAATAAGAAAGGAGTACTGAACCCAAACTCAAACAGAGCAAGATGCACGTACGATTCTGGTATAGGACCTAAGCACGAGAAATTGACAGTAGACTTACGTCCAGGTACGAAAACGTCAACAATAGGTCCTATAGTAGTGACCTATGAGGAATAGGCAATAACACATGTTGGCTAACAATCAGAGGAGAAGAACATAAATATTAAACCAAGAACCATAGCGCATGGACACTAACATAAGAAGCCTGGGATACTAAAATGTAGAAGTTCCAGAATCCAAGCCATCACCTGCACACTGATGATGAAGCCATCAAAACAAGCCTTAAGGCATAAATTCTGGACCCTAGCCTCAGCAGCATAGTACAGGTGCCCGGAATCTATCGCCGTAACATAAACCAGTGTCTCTAAACCCTAAATCTGAGGGTGGACACCAAGCAGGGCGACTATGTCAACTGACTCCTAAACCCTAAGTCAGAATCCCGTAGCCTACTGACTAAAGCACAGGAATTAAGGCAACAGAAGCCCTCAAGGTACAACACCGAGAATTCTGTCATGAAACATTAGAAGCTGAACTCTGAGAGACAAAAAGTTTAGGAAACATCTAGGGAGCCAGAATCGCTCTCATACGAAGCACACATACAAAGTTAACAACACCGGAAGGAACAAGGAGGTTACACCCTGAGCAGCCGTGGATGTGGACAAAGGAAGAAGATGCATGAGGAACAAATCATGACAAGTTCAAACGCAATCCAAACCCCTGAAACACTAGATGATGAACCCTGAACCCTAAACAAGAGGATGTCAGACGTAGGAACTAGAAGGTCTGGCCTGAAACAATGACACTCTGATCAATAAATCTGAACCTGAAGCCCATCAATCACAACAGGAAGAAGTAAATTCATGAACTCTGACTGATGGACAGTGAGCCGTAACCGTTAGACCCTAAACCGGAAGAGTTAGCCCTGAACCCTAAACCATAAACCAACACACCAAACGCCTAGAACCTAAACCCTGAATCCTGAACCTAAACCCTGAACTATCAACCCTAAACTCTAAAAACTAAACGCTGAACCCTAAAACTGAATACTGAAACCTGAACTTAAGGCCTAAACCCTCAAACCTGAACGCTAAAGCTGAATCCTGAACAGTAAAACCTCGACACTAACCTAAAAAACCTAAAACGTAATGCCTAAAAACTGAGCTCTGAGAAATAAAGCGGGAGCCTGAAACCGAATCCGAATAGGAGAACCCTTAAGAGCTAGAGCATGAACCCGTAAAGCAAGACACTAGGCCCTGAACCGTAATCACTGAGCACTTAGAGCCTAAACATAAACCCTGAGTACCTAGAGCCAGAACCTAAACCTTGAACCTTAAAGCCTCAGCATTAAGCCCTGAACGCAAATGCCTGAAACGAAGACCCTAGACCCGTAGAAGTAGAGATTGAACCATAACACCTGAGACCTGATCCATGAACACCACACGCTATTACCCTACCCCTAAAAAGTAACCAATGAACCATAACCCATAAACCTAAACCCCTAACCCCTCCCTGTTAACTCCAGACTCGTAATCCCATTTGTCCCATTCCTTCCACTGTTAAGTCTTAAGCCGTAACCTCCAAGTCAGAACCGCAGTTCCCGCCTCCGTATAATCATCAGGGTGAATGCCGGATCCTAATCACTCATGAGGAAACCACCCTGCTGAACATGAATCCCCAAGTAATCCCCAGATTCTTCCCTCCCTGGGGCCGTAGGCATTCCCACCCCTTGACCCTATCTGGTTCCCGCGCCGCGTCGAGTGGATGTCTCCCCTTCGCCCCTGTTATTAGAATTTGTCCCTGGTTATCTGCCCTTTTGGTAGCATTCGTAGGCCCCACTACCTCCTTGTTTGGTTTTCCTCCAGTTGGGTTGTATACTCGGTCCTCCGCCTCGGCGTCCTCCCTTTTTTGGTTTTCCTAACTCGCCTGTGTAACCACTGTCGCGTCAGTCTTGTTTGTTGGGTTTTGATCCCCAACTGCCGTCCAATAAGCCTCCGAGATCCCGCTTACCTGGGGTGTTATTCCTGGTTTACAGTGCCTTCCCCCCTCTTGGACAAGATTCCGCCCCTAGTCTCTATCCGGCTGCGATTTCTTCCCCCTTTTGCTTCCCTGCGGGTTTCAGTTTGCATATGGTACTCCTCCTCTTGGCATTCCCCTTTTCATAAGTAATTTGTGCCCTGATCTAGTTCTTCTCTCTGCCATTGATCCTGTTCGTACGCCTCCTCTCCTATATATGTAATAGCCGAACCCTGCGCCGACGATTGTTATCAAAAATGCAAATCCTCCCAGTACGTCCGTCAATGGACTATTGGGTGACTTCTCCGTAGCCACGGCTTCTTCCCTCAGCTGTTTCTCTGCTCTCATTAACGTCTGTTCCACAGATTCGTGTCTGTACTGTTGTGATATCTCCTGTGTTCTCTCGGCTATTTTCTCCTGCGAAGAAATATTTATCGTTGCGTATAACCGTATTGTCGTCATTTCCGCCCCTCCCTGCGGTGGAGGCCCATTCTGTTCATCCTCCTATCAGTTCGTGGGAGTTTCTCCCACGTTTCTATTCGCTGTTGACTTTTCTCCCTTCCTTTGGTCCCCTTTGTGCCTACCTGTAACTCTTCGTATTGCTCCTGTTCTCGCTCTATATATTCACAGCTCCCTTTACCCACATAGACGCAACTAGTGTCATAAAACGGCCCGCCTCCGTCTTTTGGGCTACATTGTACTCCGGTTATAACAACTCCTATTTTCTCCACAAAATCCTTCCATTTGTCGACGGTAGCTCCTCCGTTCCCTATCCTGAACAGCTGCTGTTGTCTCGTGTGTCTCTTGTTTATAAACCAATCCTGCATTATTTTCCTCGCAATGTTCTCATCACTCCATGTCTTCAACTGCTCATAGAGGTTCTGACAAATGCCTGGAACCTCGTCCTTCTTCAGTCTCTTCTGAGAGTTTAGGCTGCTTTCATAAACTCCCAGGATGATACTCATTATGTCCATACATGTCCTGAGATTCATTTGATATGTTTGTCTTCTGTATAGCCTCGTTCCGCTAACAACTTGTGTCCAAAGGTCCGTTGTGTCGCTATATGGACATTTCTTTTCATCCCTCCTGGCCATGAAACATCCCGTGCTGTCGGCATCACATGATCCGTCGCGCCACTCCTGCGGGCCGGAGGGGTTTACTTCCCAGTTGCTCATCCACATGTGTAAGGCTTTACAAAGAATACGAGCCTTTAAATCCACATTCAGCACTATATTTCCCAGATTCTTTAGTCCGCTTGGATATACGCGATTTTGGACTTCCTCCCCCCCGTCCTCCCTCGTATATCTCAGATCACACAATGTAAACTCCTCCCCACTGATTCCGGTTTCTGGGGGGGAACAGTCCGCCTCTGTCCTTATCTTTTCCATATATCTGCTCAATCCTGGACCCCCCATAGCTCCTCCTTCTTACTCTGCTCTGATATCCTACTCGCGGCAATTTCGCCACTATGGAGATATGTTTCTTCCTCCAGCTGCAATTTCCAATTTCAACTCATCCTTGAGCTCCACCCTTTGTGCCTCTCCGTTGGTTTGTCTCCAGACTGTTCCTCTAGCGAGATACGTTCCCTTGAACTTGATCGTCTTGGTTGTTTTTCTTACGTTCCAAGCTCTACCGGGAAGTTCAGCTCCTATGTCCTGTCACCTCCGCCCGAGTCCTGAGGTTCCTTAGAGTTAGGATCCCTCGTATGTTCCCTTTCCTCCTCTCCTATTTGTCCCTTAAGGATCCTTGCCAGGATCCTCCTGGTTTGGCCCCAAATCCTTGCCACTTTCCCTCCTCCTCTACTCCTCCCTCTACTTCGTTTCCCGTTCGAACTGCTTCCTTCGCCTCGGTTCTTCTCCTTCTTGTTTCTCTCCCGGTCCCTCTCCTAGTTCTCCTGCGTCTCCTGGGGCGTGATCCGACTTCTGCCTTTCCCTTTCGTCTTATTTCCTCTGCATTATGATCTGGCCCTTTCCTTTGTCTGTTATAAATACCTTCTGCCCCCTCAGAGTTCCCCTTTGGCGGTACTTGCCAAGACATGCGTTAATTGACCCTGAATACTCGGCCCGCCGTAGTCGCCTTTATTTTCCTGCTTCTAATATCCTCCTCATGTGCTGTCAGCTCCGAATACCTTCTGGGATTTGGATCACTCCTTCATATACCTCCTATACGCGTATGAATCTTGTTTTCTTCGGCCTGATCCTCCCCCATCCCTTTATTTTATCTTCTCACCTATTCCTTCTCCTCTATATCTGAACGCTTCGAGTCACTCCCTCTGCACATCGCTTGCCGTGTGCCCGGGATCCGCTCGTCTTCTCATCTGCCTGGGTGTCTCCGATTTCTCCTCGGTTGCCTATCTCCGCTCTCGCCCCATCATGTGTCCTCCCATAGTCGCGCCTCACCCGTCCCTGAACTGGCACGTTTGTTCCTAACCTTGTGCGTTATCCTCTCTAGTGGATCCTCGTTGCCTTTCTGCTACGGCTGACTTAAGATTTCCCCTGCTCGTGTTTCATCATGTGTCCTTGTCAGGTTCCTAAACGTCAACGCTCAGACTCTTGCATCCGTCCCGGAGACTTCTCCCTTCTTCCTTTCCTTCTCTCTGTTCTCCTCCCCCCTCGTAGCCGACGTGCTCCCAAGAATTTCTCAACTTATACGGAGACTCCTCGTCGTTAGCTGCCCTTCCGGTTACAGTTTCCTCTGGTTTCCGGATTCTGTCGCCGGACAGGTCCTTTCTTTGGTTTGATTCCTCCCCCCGATAAACATCTGTTGGTTGCCGCCTTCTGGTTGCTGACCCTACTGAGACTGGATCCCCCTTCCTGGGTTGGTCTCTCTTCTGCGACTCCTTGCCCCGGCTCAAAGATGTATTTTCTGGGAAATTGCTTCATCTCAGACAAATGTAACCTAACGTCTGCCTCTCCTGGAACTCCGGTAATTTCATATCTTCTTCCTATTCCGCAGCTTATGCTTATTTCTACTCATCTATCTAATGTGGGATGGTTACCACGCAGACGGCATCATTTGGCCCCGTTTTCTTCTCATTGGAGGGGCTGGCTCGGCATGGTCCCTAACTAAACTTCTGGAACTGGTCCTTAACCTGATCTCTCTATATATTCTTCCTTATTTTTCCCTTAGCCCCTGTTGGTAGACTTTGGCGAGGAACCTTTAAGAAACTTGGTTTTGGGACTCTTTCTTGGCCTTCGTTCTTCTTTATGAACTCCTCTGTCCCGGTCCTCAGTTGCTCTCCTGCTGTCCGCCCTTGGTTTCCATCTCTCTAGCAGAAACTTATACGGTAACTTCTACATCATCCAGACCTAATCCGCCCGGCTGCCCGTTCTGTCTGTTGCTGGTCTGTTTTACACTCTGCTCCTAACCGAGTTATCCTGTGACGCACGGTTATTCTGCGCTCTTATTCTGCGTCCTTTGGCCCTCTGTTCTCCTACCCTTCAGGCAGGGGCCGTCTCAAACCTATTTGATCCTCTCTGACATTATCCCATACCCCTCCTCTTCCTCCCGGGATCCTTTGGGTACCGCCCTCGAGGCTTGTACTAGCGGGCTCCCGTTCTTGCGTACCCGTATCTTGCTTGTATATTTGCACTATGAACGGGGCGGTCGTATGTATATTTTCCGCCTATGGAGGTTGCTCGCTTGAGATGCCGCTTGGTCCTTGATTCTTCTATTTTCTGTTTGGCTATGTTTCGGTTGTTGAAGTTTTGGAGCTGTTACATATTTGTCCGGGGATTCTGGTTACTTGTGTGCGTCTCTTGGGGAGATTTCCTTCCCTTTCGCTTGAAGCATTGATTGTGAGCTAGATAAGTTCCTTCCCTTCCTTCCCTAGGTCCGGACATGAGATATTCTTGCACTCTTTTTTGGACCTGTACCCCCGTGGTTGTTTCTCGGTTTTTTCGGATTTCCTTCTCGGGGCACTCTACAGTCCATTTTTTGTTCATAGATGTGCTTCCTCCCTGGTCTGGTTGTATGAGGGTGGATTCCTGCGTGACTGCGTTCATTTTAGTGCTCAGGTTTCCTTCTTGATATCACCCTTACTCTTTACTTTGCTTAATTGGATCAAGGGGCTCCCCACCGTCCCGTTGTGGTGTTTCCGTCTTTGGACTTATGTATACTCTTTGTGTCACTCCCTTCACTATCTACTTTTGGGATACTTCCTGCCTCCGCTATGCTTACTTGTTCGCTCCTGCCTTTTTCGTTTGCCCCTCATCTGAGGCCCGACTTCTTCTATTAGTGACCCTCTCCTTCCTATAGTTAGCTGTGCGTCCTGGCACTGGCCTTATATTCCTAGTCACTAGTTCGTTAACTCCTTATGTCTCGTATTTCGCCTTCGTTTCTTATGTCCTCTCTGATTTCTTTTCCATTCTGTTGATGTATTATTCTCATCTGAATGAGGAAATCATCCTTCTGTTTCTTCTACTCTCGAAATCTCCTCTTCCGTGTTATAATTGAGAATGCTTCACTTTGGACTTCTTTCTTTAATCTCCTGATTCTTCCGGAGTCCCCTTTTTCCTTATAGAATTTTTCCCCCCCCCACATGGCTGGGGGGTTGGTCCGTGCTCCTATACATGACTCTGACTCGAGGTTCTTTCTTTTCTTGGAGTTCTCTGCTATCTCTTGACACATCTGGTCCCGTGCTTTACTTTTTCCTTTTCTCCTCTCCTTTCTCATTCATTTCTTTCTTGGTCACCTTATAAGTTGTTCCCTGTATAGTTTTTTCGGGCTGTTCCTGGGAGGGGTTCTGCCTATTTTTCCTCATGGATTTTCTTTTTTGCCTCTTCATGTTACAGGCTTGCTTTTAGACACCCTTGCTGATGGGAGGCTAACTCCTTCTTGATTTCTTAATCTTCCTACCTCTACGGGGATTCATTGTGATAGTCCATCTTCCATCCCCTCTTCTTCCCCTCTTCTTCCCCTCTTCTTCCCCTCAACCTCTGTAGAATGGTCGGTGTCATCGCGATGTCCTCACTTAACTCATGTTTTTGCTTAATTGGGGGTGGGGGGCACGTCTGATTCCTTCTCAAATGTACCACCGTCGATGTCCTCTCTTAGCTCCTGCGGTAGCTGTCTGTGGAGTTCTCTCCTCTTATGCGTGCTGCTACTCACTCTTGGTTTCCCCCCTTAAATGGTATTTCTTTATTTCTTCCCAGTCGATCCCCCTAGGCCCCCTTCCTCCCTCCTGTTCGGATTTAGAGACTCAATCTTTTCCCTGTTCCTGAACCCCATACGGGACCTGTTGTGTGTTTTTCTTTTTTACTCTCCCTCCTTTATTGCCCCTTTATCAGGCTACCCCCTTGTTGTGTCCTTTTTCCTTCACTGTAGCTCTTTTGTCCCAGCTGATCCTTTATATTACTTGTTTTCTTCTGCCGCTAATAATTTCGCGTGTCTGTTCCCTTCGTCCTTGGGAGCTCCTTATGTTTGACCTCTTAGGCTCTCTGGTTACACTCTGTCTGTTCTAATTTCCTCTGTCTCTTGAACTTTGATTATCCGTCGGAGTGTTTTCTTACCCCTGCTGGGGTGCTGTGGCTCTCTATACTCTCGTTTCAGGGCGACTTCTAGACTTTCTGGGTTATACGTTTCCATTTTCCCCTTTGGCTTAAGGGGCATGGTGAGATCAGTTCTCCTAAACTACCTGAAATTATACGGTAGTGTCTCATATTTTGGCTCCAGTTATTTATTCTTGCTTGTGAGATTCTTGTTTACGCTGTGCTCGTTTCCTTTTTATTTCTTGCCTTTCCTATATTCCATATTCTTCCTCTCAGTTGTATTCTTTTCCTTTAGCTACTTGGCCTGCTATAGCTACTCCTAGGGGCGGATTCACTCTCATTCTCCTTCTTTTTAATTTTAACATACTACGCCTCTTGATATATCCTCTCGCCTCTCAGGACTTGTTCGTCGTCCTGCCCTTTTGCTTCATCTCTGGGGTTCTCCGGCCTGGCTTCTTCCTTTATACTGCTCCACCGAAGCCTCTCCCTTAATAATAGCTCTATTATTATTTATTGTGTTGTTGACTATTTTTGTTTGGTGGGATTATGTTTGTTCTCTTGCCCATTCTTATTTAATTTGCCGCGTTTGTTAAGGGAGCTATATTTCTCCCGCTTAGATGTCCTTTCCTCGTTGTTAGTCTTATTCTTCTTTCTCCAATATTATATATGGAGGTTTCTTTCCTGTACTGTCAGGAATTATTTCATTCCTGCTATTCAGTATGCTCCCGGTATATACAGATATCCTTATACCATCCTATAACTGGCACCGGGGGTTGCTCCTTGGAGTCCCCTATGAATATAACTCCGGTTTTTGGTAGGTGTTGGTGTTTACTAGTCTTATACCTTATAATTATTTTATATATTCTCTAAGGAACTTCTTCTAAGTCCTGTTGCTATATATACTTATCTTCACTCATTCCTTACGTTCTGGTACATGTCCCTTTTGACTTGTTCGTGTCATGTATATTATTATTACTCCTAGACCAGATTTACCCGCATAGTGGCCGTTGTTGCGCCTGATTCTTATTTCTCTAATGACACATAATCTTAATTATCTTATTGTACTTGCGTTTTTCTGGATCCTTCCATGCAAGCATATCCGTATTCTCTCCCAGGGATTGATTTGCCGGACTGAGCCTGCTGGTTTCATTGCGCCTCCGGCTAGTCTCCGGCTGTTTATTCCTTTCTTTGTCTCCTGTGTTTCGGCACTTCATAATATATGATTGTATATTCTTCATATGGATTATTCTTGTTGATTCATAGTTGTCGTAAATTTGGGATATTCTTTTTCGGCTTCGGTCTTTATTCCTTTTTTTTCTTGTTGTTGTTTTTTTTGCTGTTCGTTTTCTTTCTCTTTTCCCATAATTCTTGGATACTGATTATCTTAAATATCCCTTCATTATGTTTATCCTGATATTTTTCCCTTGTCCACATGTTTCATTAAACCTGCCTCAGGGTTCATAGGGTTCTTTTTGGGTTCCCCCTGGTATGTGACCCTCGTTGTTTCTTGGACTGTGATCATCTTCCTTGCCTCGGGTACACTCTTTTTTCTTATCCAACGGTTGGTATAGCTTAATTTATTTTATTATGCTGCAGAGAGCCTAGCTCCCCTGCCAGTTTCTTGGGCCGTTCGGTTGTTTTGGGTATTGTTCCTCTTCTTCCTGCAATATACACTATTTCGTATCATTAAATTTTTAACTATCATATGATTCTTCCTCGCTACTTTTTAGCTCTTTCTTTATTTACAGCTTAGCAGATCAGGACAGTCCTATTTATATCATCCTTCCTGCTCTGTTATATAGCAAAGAAAATATCCTATAGGCCACAACATTCCGTATCCAGCTATTTAAGCAGTTATTCTTTTGCCATGTGCTGGATAAATGTGTATTATGATAATGTATCGAAACATAAAGAGTTCCCTGCTTCTTCAGATCATCCCCACAACATCTCACCAATAATTTCGAAAATTCGGGTTAATTAATCACGTGGAATAACATACAATAGGTTCATAAAACTACTTGACTCCTTATTAAGGGAGGGAACTTTGCTATTATGGTCTATATTTCCTTATAGCATTACACTTAAAATTTATATAAAGACCATATGATTGCCAAAATGATCATGTATTTACTGACTCTTCCTGAGTTTTCAGATGAATTTTATAACTTTATGGTGGTGTAAGATTTCTTTATAGGACATTTCCTCATGTCAATAGGGGAATGTATCCATTGTATATTGGTATACTCCCTTATGCATAAAAGGGGTTATGAATACCACTTAACATTCTACATCCTCCTGTGGTGAATAAGGAGACACCTCTTATAGCATTCTCCATACATCTAGATACGGACAAAAATGAAGCTTCTGTATGACTTTTTATACTTCAGGAAGTTAGCACAGATTCAAGATATTATCTGTCGTTATTCCTCCTTTCACATATTAGTAAACATGAATCCTTTGATTTTATATATCCATCTGGTCAGAGAGAAAGATTTGATGCTTACATTATCCCTTAGTTGTCACCCCTACTCTTCCTCGGGGTCTTATTCTTTGGGCGTAGTTTTTAATCCTCATCCCCTGAGCATCTTTCCCTGTATTCTCCCTTTTGATGTTGTCTTTTTTGTATGTATTAATTATGTACCTTTCCTTTTAGGTATCTCCACTTCGATCGTCATGTTGATATTTCCTCTCGTTTGTGGTGTATTTATATGATGTTACATATATCTGTCTCCGTCCTCTGAAGTAGATAATTTTCTCAAATATGTCACTTGTATTCGTATATAAATTCTATTATAGTCATCCGCTCCTATATGATTGCTTCCCTCCTTTGATTAATGATTCCTTATTATTTTCTGTGTATTCTTATTCTTATGCTTATTTTATCTCCCTCGCCGGTTTCAGGTTATTATTACCCCTAACTTACCATGAGTAATAGCTCTTTTTATATAGTACTATTGCTTTTATAATTCCCTACTCGTCCTTAGAGTAGAAGAATTTTAATCCTTCATTTTACATATTTGGCATATTTTAACTTTACGGCATAGATTTCGAGTCTTGTTAAGAGGAAAATACTACAGATTAAGCCAGGTGTGCAAATCTTCCGTATTCATCCTTTCTTAATAGTACCTGGATATTTATTGAATCTATATTACAATAATACTGAGAGGGAATAATTAGAGTTCACGAGATATTATTGTACTTACAAGGCTACCTTGCCTATAAAAAGTTGTTCCTATATGTAAGCACCCTCGGTATGTTGAAACCGCTTTTAGTGATAGTATCCCTAAGTTTCTTATACAGCATGAATAGCCCTAGGATTGGTATATGAGTATTCCTGGAATGGAATTATTCTACAAGCCAGTCTATTGGTGAAATGGTATGATTCTTACAATTGCCCTCCTGCTCATGGAATTCGGCTCTCCAAACCTTTGTATTATCTTAAACAATTTTCCTCCTCACACAGCACTGTTCTACATAGAATATTACCCTTGACAGAAGCTTATCCTCTAAACACTTGTTGTAAGGCTAATTCTTACAGTTAATACAAATATAGCGGAGGCATCTCGTATTTTCTATATATGTGTAACACTTAGTGATTGGAACCCCTTCAACAATACCGCTGCATCCATTCTATTATCTATTACTAAATATCTCTTTTTAAATTATGGTGCCTCCTGCTTTAAATCTTGACGACTCCCCAATAGGGACTCTCGGGATTCTCCTACTGTTTATGCAGTGATACTCTAGAGAAATGTCTTCTTCTCACATACTTAATAATGGTCGCGAAAAATGTATTCCTTATATATTAGTCTTCCAAGGAAGTGTATATCCTCCGCCTCATTCTATTCTTCAAATAATAGCACCCGTTGGCCTAACTTCTCCTTATAAACGTATTCCAGTCATAGTCATAGAACCCGCACGATTATGTTCCTGATATCATGGCTCCCTATCGAGATGTGTTATCTTCAGCCAATAATAGTCTCCAATTAAAAAAACTGTAAAATATCAACCTGGTGCAGAATAATATTCAGGAGAAATGTATACAATACACAAAATAATAGTTCTGGTATATATGTATGGTTCATACAATATGGATGTGTGCTAAGCGTACATTCTACAGGTGGGTAGTCCCGGGGGGAGCGATATTTTTCAAATAATACTACACATAAATCATTATTCTTCCATTAGTCACGTTCTCCAATTAGTCGTATCTAAAATTCTATGTGGTAAGGCCTTCACATAAAAGCATTCCTGCGATACTTTACATTACAAACAACATTTCTGCTAGAATCCTTGCATTGTGTATATGCAAGTATTTCTGCTTCTATTGTATTACTCCGCCAATAATACATTCGACACAGCTACAGGGCTTTCACCTGCGCCTAATTAATGGCTTGCTCTTTTCTGTAGAATCTAGCCCTTAATTCTTCACATAATACTATTTCATAGGGATTTATACTTACCAGTGACTGGTGTCGCCCAAAGAATAGGAACCGAGAGTTGGAACACATAGCCCGCAATTCACACACTTTTGCATTTTTGATGGGCATATTGTAGGAAAATCCTTATCTTTCAAAGGACGGTTCCTGAGAATATCCGTATCCCTCATACAATACAGTACTCTGAATTTCTCTGCAGTTCACATAATGCCATTCCTCATCTTCTCCGCTCCCTACATATCACATGAGTGCAGGGACAATAATTTCTTTCAAATGAATGTGCTACAAGCTCTGTGTTAGTTGTAAAATATTTTCCCTTCCTTACAATAACAACATAACCGGTAAACCTATACAATAATATTCTTGATACAGCTGTATTCTTTAACAGCATTGACACTTTAGACACATATATACAGTTCATATCATGCTATGCCTTATATATTAATGGTACACTATGTATATTTCCCTACTTGATACATGTGTTTTATTCATACAATATCATTGTAGGCATGGATTACGGATAAAGATAATGATACGGCATGCATGTTCATACACTTCAAATCATAGTACTCCCGGTACAGTAGTATTCACTTCACAATGCTATTCCTAATATCTGAATACTTCGCAAACCTCCACATTGTTCACATAATAGTACTCTGGGAATGGTACCAGTGGGAGCGAATAAGTAATTTTTAGACAATACTATTTCACGCACATGTGTAAACTTTCTCAAGCGGTACTCCCCCAATCATACAGGTTCATACATTATACGGCTGCCAATATAATAAAACTCCAGGGAGTGCTATTAATTCCGGAATATGGTGTTTTCCCTATAATAGAAGCCTAAACAATAGGCCATGATGTTCCACCTCTTTTAATAATTGTGCATGGGGGGTATCCAGAATCCCACCACAATTGTTCACTCCAAGACATCACACTAGGGAGATATGAGTACACTCACAAGACTGCGCCGCAGATCATCCTTACGTTTTATACAATTATGCCCATAAATGGACAGTACTTTGCAGATATCCCTATATCTCATCCATTAATACATTGATATAAGAGTACTACGAGAATCTCCGCATTCGTCACCATGGAAAATGGGGACACATGTATACTTCCTTCTCATCTGCCCTTGTAGAATATGCATGCACTTCATAGAATATTACCCTACGAATAATGACACACCTCGAAAATCAGTATTCTTGACACTATAATACGGTTAACATTATAGTACCCCTGGCATAGCTCTACTGTTTAGACAAAATGATTGGAGCCCACCTGTCGGATCTGCAGAATCGCCCAAGTCATATCATCCAGCCATTATACCAACATGACGACCCTTCAAATAATGCTATTCCAAGGAAAGTCTTACTCATCAGAACAAACTATCCTGTACATAACATCATTGTTCTTCAAGTAATCGTGCAATTCACACATTCATGAGTCCCACAGAAGTGTACCTCCCATACGGAGGTACTACGGCAATTTGCACACGTTGCGTAACGGTGGCACCTCCTCATACGGCACAAAGCTAAGTCATGAATTTTACACCGGCCCTTATTTTACTTAATAATACGGGATTAACTTTGCCACTCATCAAATGGCGTCGTACCAGCCATATCAGGGATCTTTAGATATGAGTACTATACATACCTCTGTAGTGTCCCCATAACAGTACTCAAAGTCATGAATACTCCTTCAGCGAATATCCTGTTCAAATGGAACTATTATGGACACGAGAGGGTTGTAAACAGGATGATACTCCTTTCACACCATTACTCTCCCAAAAAATCGTACTCCAGCGGTGATTTTACTCATAAAGGCAAAACCCTTGACACATTATGCTTCTGTCTGTATAATCGCACTCCAGGTGATCCATATAGCTCCACTACTCGTACCTTTATAGAATAGTAGTATGCGGATCTCCAGACTCCTCAGCATCGATGATCCAGAGACATCCACAGTTTCCAGACAATAGTTATACAGGAATATCCATGCAGTTCACACAACACTCCTATTCATATAGTGAAGGCATAAACCTTGAAGTCTTCACCTACACCAGTACATGGAAAACAGTACTCCTCACATAATAGTAGTACACGTATATGCGCACGCATCACTAGCAATGGAAATCCACACCAGTATTGTACATATAATGGTATCCAGGGCGTCCCTCCATTCCTCAAATACCAATACAATAACAGTGTGACTATCTTCCCTATATGAGTACTACGAACACCTGGGTACGTTTCATATACAGTAACACTGAAGGATATCCTTACCCTTTACGCAGATGTGCTCCTCAAATAAGGGCATTCCAGGCACAATGGAACCCTTCCGATAAGATTCCTCTAGAATACCATTACATTTCACATAGTACTGCATTCAGCATGTCAGTGGACTCAACAGAATGGCACTCTCCATATCCTCACGCTCCTCACATGGAATGAACACTGGTATATTCCTGGTCCTGAAATAAAGGTATTCCAACCGGTTTGGAGGGTTCTAATCATTTAGTTGCTCCTACATTACTTGTATACTCCCTGAACGCGCATATAATAATACTGCTGGTACAGCTCTATACTTCACAACCATGGACACTTGTTGCATGTTCCACGATCTCATACAGTTGTGTTCCTTATATAAAACTACGACACGTATATCTGTCAACTTCATCTCTTGGTGTCATTCATATAATACTATTCCTGAGATAGACATACACGGTTGAAATAATGGTATCCCCTGTATTTCAATACTATTTAAATCATAGTACGGCGGCCACATTAGTATTCATCCCCACATTGTTATTCCTCCCATATGAATACTCGGCAGACATTCGGACTATTCACATGATAGTACTCTGGGAATATCAATACTTGAAGTTAAGAAGTTATTCTCACACAAGGGTAATCTAAGGATATCCCTACACTTGGTAGTGCGGGGCTGCTAAAGTCATGAATCTTCACGTCATGCACCACTCTTAATATAACAATACTTCAGGGACTTTTCCAGGTTCCACACAGTAGTTTTGTGCAAATAAGATAAGTCAATATCCTGGGCTTCGAAATTTTTACCCTCCAGATAGTTGTGCTTCAGGCACATCCATAAGCTGCGAACAACCCTGCTCCCTAAATGACGTTACTACGCACATATGAGTATACTCACAGAATACGGTTGAAGATTATGCATACTACTTAAGGAGGTATTCTATTCAGAAAACGATGCAGAACAGATATTACCACAGGTCAATCATTAGTACCTTCATATAACGCTACTACGGCAATTTCTGTAATCATCATCATTGCAGATCCATACACATCTGTACTGTGCACGCAATAGTTCGTTTGCAATATTCATACACTTGACGGAATAGTGCTGTCCAAATAATGACACTCGTGGAATATGAATATTTCAAACACACAAGTACGGTTCATATCATAGTACTCCTGGCACCATAGTACTATCGAAACAATGGTCTCCCTAACACTTCTTAAAGATTGTACAATCCCTTACTCCATATAATTGGACCATTAAACTTAAATAGACACCCTTTACATAATGGCACTTCAAAGACAGGCATGCTCATCTGGGGACACCATTCCGTATATATCCGTAATACTCCTCAAATGATGCAACACTGAACAGGTCCACGTGGTTGATACCATAGTATCCCTCATATAAAGCTATTACGGTAACAGTCATACCCTCCATGGTCTAACTCTCTGCATATAATAAGACATTATGCCATATATCTTATCGACTTTAACATACTTTACTTCACAGTACGGTCGTAAGTTTGTCACTCTTCGAATAGTAACGTACCAGGCATCTTAACACTATGCAGATATGAGTACGGCATATACCTATGTACTCTCCACAGAAGGATCCTTCCAGTCATCCATATTTCCCATACAACTGTGAACTTCGAAGGGAGGTATTATCCGAAAAACAGTATTGTTAACATAACGGTATTACATGGACACGCATACTTTCCAACAAATAGTACCATAGATATGGTCTCACTAATGAAGCTACATAAAGGCAAAGACAATTCTATCAGTAGAACAAGTTCACTCCTGGAACCTCAATACGTGAGGCAAGAAAGTACTCTTAACATCATCATACTCCTGGAGTAGGAATACTCTTTAAGTAATAGTATTACCGATGACCACTAGCATTTGCGCAATTCGGCACGCGATGTAATGGACTCATTAAACTTATATCGACACACTTGATATCCTGATAATCCAAGGATAAGCTTATTCCTCGAGATAAACCGCTCGACACATGACAGTAGTTTTCTTCAATTAACAGTGCACTTGGTACATTAACACACTTGACAGAAAGGTATCATTCACCTAAAGATACAACCCGAGCTTGTGCACTCTTCATACCATAGCTCCCCGAAAATGGTAAAAGGTTACGCCACATATATCCTATGACTTGAACACGTCACTTTATAGCACTGTCTCCACTTCGCCACCATCCGAGTAGGAGTTTAACGAGTACGATTGCTATCTCCAGATAGTAGTAGTATACATAAGTTTTTAGTTCCTTTATATTGGCATTGCAAAGCATAAATACTTATTAAGAAGCGGTGTTATTTAAATTGAAGTATAATCCACATAAAAGTACCCTTAACAGGGCGATATTCCTGGCAAACACGTACTCTTCCATAAGATACTATTTTGAATATAATGATATTCATTATGGCACAACCCATAACACAAAAGGGTGCTGCTCAGTATGATAACAGTAAAGGTCATGAACATATTTGAGGTACTAGCACCTTCATATAACAGTACGATGGGGAGGTTCGGATTGTAGACCATTCAGCATCCAGATAATTCAGTACGGTTTAAGTAAGAATTTTAGAATATTCATGCACATCACATAACAGTACTACATTTGCATCGCGGCGCTGCACCCCCCTTAGATATACACATGATTATTCTGCAAGCAAGCGTACCCCAAGCTGGCTTGTGCTCTCCATGTAACGAAACCATAAACAGGTCACTACCCCGAACAAATGAGTATTACTCACACTTGAGTAGCCTCCCTACAATAACCCTCCAAAAAATCCTTACCCTTGACGCAACTCTGCTCATCAATTAACAGTGTTATCCGGGTGACATTCCTATCCACTTAATACTACTCCATGAACATCATCACTTCTAAAACAATAATACATCAGGGATAAAGGTGCCCTTTTACACATGCATATATTTTTCGTGTTTTGTAATGCTACCACATCAGTATGCTTATGATATTTACAATTCATAGATGTTGCCTTCTTCATAGATAGCGGAAGAAAGAGAATATCTTGATAATGGCTCCACACAGAGAAAAGAAAAATAGGTCCATCAGAATCTTGACGAAGAAAAATCTCTAATAAAGAACAATGACAGACAATACAACATATCCCGAAGGATGCAATCAGGATGCCATCTTCACAATGATGTAACGTCAAGGAACATTCTCACAATAATGGATGCAGAAGAACATCTTCAAGAGGACGAAACCGAGAAACGACGAGGAGATACCAGGAGAAGAAAGAATCTTCATAAAGAGAATAAAGAACGCAACAGCATCTAAACCATGCCGCGGAAAACTAGCATATTCATAAAGGAAATGACACACGAGACGACAGCTTCAAGAGGCAGCAAGAAAAGTACATCGTCGTAAAAAACATGACACACAGACGAACATCTTCACGATGCCGCACGAGGAAGAACCCTCCATATAGAAGAAATGATACGAAACCATATATTCAAGCTGCAGCCAGAAAATAGGATCATAAGGAATGCCGCGGAACAGAAATATCTTCATAAGAAAAATGCCTCGCGAGGAAATTCCATCGCAATAACATGATAAAAAGAAAAGGCATTTTTATAAAAGAGTCGAACAGAAGAATATCATCGATATAACGCGGTAAAGAGAATCTTCGTAAGAATGCCACACCAGCGAAAATTCTCATAATGACATGGCCCGGGAAACTTCATCACGACACCCTTGGACAGGACTATTGTCAGAAAAGAAATGCAGCACACACAAGAATCTTAATAGTGACACGACAAAGGGAACAATTTCTATAAGAATGGCGAGCGAAATGATATATTAAAAGTACAACGCGGTAAAATAAAACATAGGCAGAAGGATTCCCTACAGGGAAGATACCTCACAATGACGCAACATAAAAACAGAGGATTCCATAAGAATGCAACAGGAGATATCATCCTGAAGAAAATGCCACACACAGGAACATTTTCATATTGACGCAACAGGCAGGAGGTAGGTATTCGAAAATGTAACACAAAGAAGCATTATTATAATGACCTGCCAGATATAAGCATCCTTAGAGAAATGCAACACACAGGAAAAGTATCAGAATGCCGCGGCAGAGCAGTACACATCACAGTGACGTAACACCACAAGAGCACAATGATCCGGAGGGAGAGCACCATAACAATGCAGGAGAAGAGATGCAACATGATGAAAAAGCTACACAAAAAGAATCGTGATAAAAATACAGCACATAAAGGCATATTCATAGAAATCCCAGCAGAATTGGTATCTTCATAGAGGTGTTGCGAAAAATGTCATGATAAAGAAACCCTCCAAAGAATTTTCGTCAAAGAGATGCCGCAAAGAAGTGTATCCTCATGAAAGAATTAGGTAGAGAAATATATATAATAAAGCCAAACAACACAGCGCACTTCCGACCGGTATAGCCCATGAGGGGACCCCCCAAAAAATTGATCCACATGAAAAGAGTTTGGGAAAGAAGCCACATGAAGCCACGTCCGCGAAAAATTACGCCACCTAAAACTACGGTGGCAAAATTAGGCCACATGAAGCTATGTTGGCAAAATTAGGCCACATGAAGCTATGTTGGCAAAATTAGGCCACATGAAACTATGTTGGCAAAATTACCCCACGTGAAACCAAATTCGCGAAATTAGGCTACGTGAAACGGCGCTTGCGAAATTACGCCACGTGAAGCCACCTTTGCGAAATTAGACCACATGAACTCGCATATCTGGTGATGGGGCACCACGAAAACATACTCTCATAAAAATGCGGGAACATGAAAAAACACAGTCATGGGAATGATACAACATGAGCGCGCATCGACAGGCACTAGGCAGCATGCGGATTGATATGCAAAGAGGTTGCGATATGAATTAATACACTTATAAAAATGCAAAAATATGAGAGAACATACACAGGAAGAGTGCGTCGTGCGGGGGAATGCTCGTGAAGATATCCAAAAATCGAAAAACACACTCCCAAGAATGATGAGCATGAGAACGCATTAACAGGAATAACGTAACTATAAAAGAAGCCATATAAACACGACGGCCCACCATTTCACGCTGTATCCATTGGATCTGCATATCTCTATTCCAGTGCCCTCATAGGAGTTTCCACACAAAGGCATAAACACATTTATATGCTGATGCAGCCCCTCTAATCGTATGCAACATACAATTAAAGTTCAATATGAAATTATAGCTCATATTATACCAGTTTAAATTCAACAATCCATTACTCCCTTTATATATGCATAGATAAAACACATTATGAAGAATTGTGTAATTTCAGGGGGGACATCTTTATGCCAAATGAAAATTCCTCTAATCTGAATCTGCATATAATGCTAACTATGTCTTTTTTCTGCGTAAGAATGTGTACCATGGGTACCATTCTTTTGCTTTCTCGTTGTGTTTTCTAGTAGCCCTTTCTTCTATAACACCAGGTAGGCATCATAATTCACAAGGTTAACACTTCTTATTCCCATGACAAGAGAACTGATCCCATATATAGAAGGGAAGAGATATACATATATGTATATCCATGGGTATATCTTCCATGGTAAGGTGTAAAAAGGTTAACAACACATAAGCTGTTATCGATAAATGATAACAATGTATAGACGGATGTAAATTACGTGTATTTGTTCGGCCAATCTGCTCCCTCCTGGATTTGACGCATCCGCAGTTGATACCCATACTGTAAATTCGCTTAAAACCTGCAAATGAGGAATGTCGTATTTTCTTTCTTAGTTTACTACAATTCATGATATGCAGAATGGAGAACTGAGTTGTATTCACACATATCTGTTATTCTCAGCCTCTTTCCATGATTTAATATTGCAGTTCTCTTTTAATCTCTATGATATATTTGATGTAATATATTATAACCACCCCCACAATTCCTTCACTATTTTTGTCCCCTCCTGTATTTTAGATATTTGGGGGTAATCACAATCAATTGGTGGATCATTACTCTCCTCATTGCAAATCCATTATAATTTGGTTGGGATTGCCATATTTTTATTTCGCTGTATTCTCCGTTGCTTTACATACGGATGTAATACTGGTATTTTTTTGTTTCTTTCTTTCTTAAATTTTGCCCATAACAAGTAATCCCCTCAACCGAATTAATCAAAGCACTTTAGCGCATTCCTTGTAGTGAACCGCTCGCGTAAGCGAATAAGAGAAACTCTTAAATATAATTATTGCAATATCCTGTCCTCCTTACATTTTATTGTACCGCTAAGGATGCTTAACTCCTATTATTCACCCGGATACTTCTTTCCATTTAGTCAATCCCCTTATTCGAAATGGATTGCTCCCTTAATTAATATTAAACTCATGTAGTCACAAAATTAACAGATGCATCACACCATCATAACCTGCTCACCTGATCTTAGAACTCAATATCCAGAAGGGTATATCCTATAAGGGAATATCAGATTCACATGAGTGAGGTGTTATCAAAATAAATAACTATAAACTCCTTCAGTTCATTATTAATTGAATATTTAGCAGAAATATCCTTCACCGCTTGTGTCTAATTGCAGGCAATTCCATATCTTGAGAAAACATTGCTTCCTACTTTGCACTTTTGTCTGCTAGTATAATTTCACGCGGAAATGAGTACACATAAATAGACGATGTGTTAAGTATCGCAGAATGTACCAAGAGAAAAAGAAGAAAAAAAAGAAACCACAAGAAATACACGCAATCCCCTGAATATAATTGTTCTGTAAAATTCACAAAGTGTACAAAATGAGCATTATATTCTAATATTCGGGTTATCACAATGTACAATACCCATTCCGGTACACAGA